GTAAAAGTATTCTTTTTGCCAGTTTATGTGATGCCATAAAGCAGCATTTTTCATTTTTCAACACTTATTAGCTCAGCTCCCCAGCTGTGTAGCACCACGCCCTGGTGTGAAATTGAGAGAGAGAACTCTGAAAAGTTTATATTGGCTTAAATTTATAGCTTTCTTTTGGGTGGGGGAAGGGATTTTTTAAAAGGACATTGTAATTTTGTGATGTTGTATTATAAAACCTCTATAATATGAAATAATATCTATGGGAATAATTATCAGTATATTGTGTTTGACTCCCCTAAAGCAATATTAATGGCTCTGTATTTAGAAGAAGAGTGAAGTAGGAAGTTTTTAATTAATTGTAAGTTAATTGACTGACCCGTTTAAGCACTTTTATATCCTGCAACGTGTACAGCTGAGTGTCTTGCATGAAAAATATGTTCAAATATGTGAGCCGTAGACAAAAATACAAGCTCAAACTCCACTTAAACAGTTGGATTTTGACAGAATTATTTGTATAATTGCTTTAAAACTTTATATCTCTTGTTTTCTGGAGAGCAATTTGAAAAAGACAAAATTAAATTGATTTCACTGAAGGTTTGGTATGGTCACCAGAAAATGGGTTAAAACAATTATTGTAGTATGATGTAGCACATTAAAATGAAATGACTGACTACAAGCTAAAAGTTTTAAGACAAACTTAATCCTTGGCTACTTCTTTCCTGCTCTCACACACACCCTAACATGTGACAAACAAGGCGGAGATTTTTAAAACATTTTAAAAACTACATCTTGAGTGAGACAGTACAAGTAAACTCAGATCAAACTCCTTATGTTTATGTTGTGTGAAAGGCTTAACTATCAACACAAAATCAGGTTTTTAGCTTTCTTCTAAGTAATACTTTATATTGGAAGTAGAGTGGACAAAGAAAGAGCCTTTACACATCCTAAACAAGCTTGAAAGAGATGCACAGATATCTTTCCAGCCAGGGTGCGAGGGAAGATCCGTGAGTCAAGACTTGCACGCTGCCCAGGCTGGCACTGACAGTACATAAATACCTTCCTGTACATACTATCAGAATGAACTGAAAGCAGCCTTAATTGGCTTGATGACTTTGCACATGTAAAATGCAAAGTAGCAGTTGCATATCTTCTAAAATAATCTTGGAATTCCAGGGCTATCTTCTATTCAGTGAGCTCTTTTAATCTCTGTAATCGTAATCTTATTCCAGATAGAAGACCAGGACATTGGACATTTCAGCAGGCATTTCAAAAAGTGACATTCAGCAGGCATTTAAAAAAGTGACAACACTAATTTTTATGCCAAGTGTAAGGATTATTCTTTAGAAATAAGTGAGACATCTTAAAGAGAGCTCATTGATGCCCAAATTCTATCTTTTCACCATGGTTGTGAGGTACAAGGAAAGGGCAGCAGCTGGAAAATGAGGCTGGTATACAGCCATTTACAGAGAAAGACTCATTTTGAGTACAAAGAACTGCATCTGGAAAGAGGATAAAGTGGTTTCACAGACAGCACCTGGTAGTTTGAACAATAGAAGAAAATAGGTACCATCACTCAAATAAAATCCACATGGGCAAAAGTTACACCTTGGACTTCTCGACCAGCGTTAATATGTAGCCCATATTTTTACTTGGGAAGACACAAACGACAGGCTAGGATTTAGAAATTCATCTCAGATCAGAGGCCTTTTTTCTATTTTCTATTTTTTTTTTAACATAGGAGTGACATGTTCATGTATGTAACAGGCTAGCTCTGGCACATAGAAATAACAATAAGAGTGAATGAGAGGCTATAAGAAGACACTTATTAGTAATCTTTTTCTGTCTTTTTTTTTTCTTTTGAGATGGAGTCTTGCTTTTTTGTCTAGGTTGGATTGCAATGGCTCTTTGCAACCTCCACCTCCAGGTTCAAGCGATTCTCCTGCCCCAGCCTTCCGAGTAGCTGGGACTACAGGCATGTGCCACCACACCCAGATAATTTTTATATTTTTATTAGATATGGGGGGTCTAACCATGTTGGCTAGGCTAGTCTCCAACTCCCGACCTCAGGTGATCAGCCCGCCTCAGCCTCCCAAAGTGCTGGAATGACAAGCGTGAGCCACCGCACCCAGCCCTTCAATAGACTGAGAAGTATGGGAGAGAGGGCAGATTAGAAAGGTTGAATGGTTTAGGACTTGGTTATCCATTTGACTTGGAGATGAGGTATAGGAAATAATCTAAAATGGCTATTTTAAAGTGTTCTGGTGAAGATATTAACAAGTATAAAGAAGCAAGTGTAGAATGAAGATAAGTAGTTTAACTTTTGGTGGGTTGTTTGAGGTGTTAATGGGAATTTGGTAACAGCTGTGAATTTTAGTCTAAAGCTCAGATTGGGGATAGAAATAAATTTTGGGAGTCATTAGCATATAGGAATCAGAGAAAACTACAGGAATTGAAAAATCATTTTGGGAGAAAATTTGTAGGAGAAGAAAAGATAACTTAGAAATCATTTTTTAAAACCCACATTTAAAAGCTAGATCAAAGAAGACAAATTAGTGAAAACCTCTCAGGAATTATGCAAGTAGAAGGAAATATGGTGAAATGTCATGAAAGCAATGGAGACAGTTGTTTTGAGATGTAGGTGAAAAACTATGGGGTGCTACAGAAGGATGAAATGAATCCATTGGATTTAGCAGGTAAGGGAGAGGTGACCAGAAAAGTTTCTGAGAGCAGGTTCAGTAGAAATGTGGGACTCGGGGTCAGATTGCAGTGACTCAAGTTGGGAATCTGGAATGAGAAAGTGTACACAGCAAGTGTAGTCTATTCCTTTAAATAGTTTACTTGTAAAGCGAAGAAACAGACAGGGCTGGAAAAAAAGGTATTTTAAAATATGGGGATGATGCTAACTTATTATAAACTGACAAAAGAAGCTGAAGGAAAAGAATAAACAGAACAATCACATGCAGGAACTCAAAGATGAAAGGGGAAGGGGGCCGGAGCCTGGAAGAGCAAGGCCATGCTGCTTCTAACACTAGAAAGGGAAGAATGGCTAAAGAAATAGAGGTAAATCTGAATGTGAGAATAAAGTACACCCTGCAATGACCATTTTCTAAGAATAAAATAGAAAGCAGATTAGACGCTTAAAAACATAGAGGTTTAAAGGAAAAGAGAACTGAGTAAGAATAGGGAATAATTGCTAATTCACTATAAATACAAACAGAATATTTAAAGGAGCTAATCAATATTGTCATTAAATTTGTACCAATAGCTTCTGGAAATAAAAGAAGAATGAACAATGTATTGATTCTGTTTTTGGAAATAGCAAGGCAGGAAGTCAAGGTGAGGTGGAGCTATTAATGAGACTGGCGAGGATGTAGTACTGTATTGGTTAAATAGGAAGAGAATTAAAGCCAGAAAAGGCAAATAGACAGGAAAAATGATGAAGTAAAAAAGCCTGTAGATCTTCAGTGGGGTCTCTGAGCCAATTTAGTGGGAATGAAGGAATAAGAGAGATGAAAGGACAAGAAATGACATATTAATACATTGAAAGTTAGTTATTTCAGAGGTAAGATATTATGATACAGAGTATGGTAGTGTGAGAAGGCCCCAGACTGTTAGGGTTTTAAGGGTGGGGAAGAGCAAGTATATTCTGTGTCCAAAGCCAAAGAAATGGGGACAGGCTGGAAGAGCGCTCATGAGGCCCAGAGAAAGGAGAGGTCCAGCTAAAAAGGAAGCAGTGACCTGTCTGGAACAGTAGCTGTGTGCTGAAATTTAAAAGAGAAAGATATCTGTATTTCTTTTTTAAACTGATAGACTGAGCTCATTACAGAAGAATTTGAAAACCTATTGCAGGATGAGAGCTTTTATCTAGTGGACAATTGGAAACCATAGCAAAATGTTAAGCAGCGGGATGCCATGAAGAAAGTGATGCTTTTGACACATTTACCTGGATGGAGACTGTGGAGGGATTTCATAGAAGAGGAGTCTATACCTTCAGAGTATCATCAAGAGGCTCAGAATGCAGGAGATGGGAGGTCTGAGCTTGGGAACAGTGACGTGAATCCAGACAGCCCCAGTTAACAGATGACAGGATCTCATGACAAATCGTATACAGGGGAGATACAGAAGGAAGAGTTAAAGTGTTTCTAATGTTTCCAGGCTGGGACACCAGAAAACTGTCTTTCTGTTAAGAGATGTGGGGAAATTAGAAAGGAGAGGGTGGGGGTGGAGAGAGGAAGCCGGGGAATCAGAAGATCTGCTCCGATGCTGCTTGTTTGTGTTATGAAAAAATAAATTTCTTATGAATCCACAGGATGTCAAAAGCTCATAAACAGAGTTATTATCATGTTGTTTTCTTTTATTAAAACTGATGTGTGACAGAGCAGTACACTGCTGAGAGATTGTCAGTAGCAGATATCAACCTGGTGTGAAGAAATCAGAAGTTAGATGCCTCGTTTGGTCATTTGGAGAAAAGAATTCTGGTGAACAGGCTCTGTTAATGATGTCCGTGTTCCAATTAAAAAACTTTTTTAATGGAGGATAATATGAAAAAGACCATTTAATCACACCTTGATTTTTTTTCAGTCACAGCTGCATATGGGTAGCAGGCACCATGCTGGGAGCACTACCTTTGATTGCAAAGCATAAAATTTTTACAGGCTTTTTTTCCCCTAATAAGTTAAAATTCGGGGTCTCCTCTATGTTGCATTTGGGTAGTAATCTGGGACAAAATATTTGAAAGTGTGTAAGTGGGCCTACTTCAAATATTTTTTGAAAATCATCTTTGATGGTTCCTAGTTACTTAGGTTGTGGAAAAAAGTAGATTAATGATTATTTTAAATGAACTTTACAGTGTAATAGATTTAAAATTGAGCTAGATAGATCTGTAGTAACTAAGAGTAATGAAAATATTTCTTGAATTGGTTGTTTCATAGCAGAAAAATGACAGCATTTTATTATATTTTTGGAGTTAATTTTTTTCTAAAATATTTCCTTTAACTTTATTTTTATAGAACGAGAACGTGTCTTTTAAGAGCATGCGGTTTTATAATTATGTGGAAGTATGCTACGCAAGGGAAAAAAGGCTCTTGCTGTACGTAAATTTTGCCCTAATTATTGGACCATCAAAAGTGCGAATAAATGTTGCCAGTATTGGCTTGTGTTTTCCTCTTGTGGAGTAAGATCCATAATTTTCCCCACATAGAGTGTGATTTTCGGAGTTTTTACTTTAGTTTTATATTTTGAATCTCTGATTCTTCAGGGATTTGAAGAGTCATTGAAATACCTTTTCTAATTATTTCTAGAATAAAGAGTAGTAGTAGTGGAGTAGTAATAGTCGATTTGTTTTCTAGGGCTGTATCAAATCACCAAAACTTGGGTAGCTTAAAAAAAGAAAAATTTATTCTCTCATAGTTCTGGAGGCTGGAAGTCTGAGAGCAAAATGTCAGCAGGGCCATCCTCCCTCCTAAGGCTCCAGGGAAGAATTCTTCCTTGCTTCTTCCAGCTTCTGGTGGCTCCTGGCAATACCTTGTGTTCTTTGATCTGTGGTAATATCACTCCAGTTTCTGCCTCTAGCTTTGCATGGCGTTCTCTGTATCTCCAGTTCTTCTGCATCTGTGTCTCTGTGCCCAAATCTCTCTCTCCTTTCTTCATAAGAACATCAGGCATTGGATTTAGTGCCCACCCTAAATTCAGGGTGATTTACACCTGAAATCCTTAACTAATCACATCTGAAAAGACCCTATTTCCGAACAAAGTGACCTTCTGAAGTTCTGGGCAAACATGAATTTTGGGAGGACAATGCTCCACCCATTAAAAGTAGTAGTAATCATGTGTTAGGCTTGTATTATTTTATGTTTTGAAAATAATCAGCCAGAACAGCTGTAGAGGGGAGGGCCTGCAAGGGTGAGTGGCCAAAAATGTGGAGGCTTCAGGATATAACACAGGAAGTGGTCTGGCAATAGAGCTGTCTCTCAGGCCTTGCATGTTCCATAGAGTATTCACCAGATGGACCCGCAGCAAGATCCTTGGCCTTGCATATGTCTTCCGAGATCCCCTGACATTTCTATATGTGGAAATATAGTCAGCAAGTTCTACCCTGATACCTAAACTGAGTTCACCACATACTAGACTAGACCAAAAAAGGGGTAAAATGAATGTAGAGCTTAGAAGCACACCAGTTTAGCCACTCATTCAAGTGTCATTGTTTTTCTTAACAAATATGCTAATAGCACCTAACACTTGTGTAGTATATGTTTACTCATCGAGCGTCACATGAATAAGCAAGGTGGAAAGGTGAACTGGGATTCAGAGATTTGTGAAAGAACATGGGGCTCATCAATGAGTACAGTGTTTCCTCAGCATCTGCTTGGTTCTAGGCTATGGCTAGGAGGTCTGTGAACCAGAAACAGATTAAAGGTTGGCTGATTACTGATCCAGTGGCCATTCATTATATCATATGTCTTACACAGTAGTGGCCATGAAGCGGGGCTCTGGGGTTGGAATCTCAGTTGTTCTATTTCTCTCTGAACCTCGGATGTTTCATATGTAGATTGGAAATGATAATAGTAACTACTTCATAGGCTTGTGGTAAAGATTTAAACAGTTTATGGAAGTACAGCATTTAGAACGGTGCCTGATACATAGCAAGTACTCAACAATATTCAGTTATTATTACTGATCTACACAAGGAAGTTTAGTTGAACAAGAATGTGTGTATCTTCCTTAACCTCAAAAAGGCGATTATTATCAATACTAACATATTTGCATAGTGCTTGCAATTTGCAGTTATTTTCATATGATCCTTTTAAAAACCATTTGATTTAATCAATACAGTTATAGGTTAAAAAAACTGTACTTCAGAGAAGTCAAGTGACTTACTTAGGTACATTGAGTTAGTAACAGTTCTGGACTGAAATCTGTGTTGTCAATCCTATAAGCCACTCCTTATATATTAGGAGAGAGGGAAAAAAGTTGGTGAATATACAGTAACTCTATCCTAAGCTCAGTGATATGGAAATTGAACTGAGAAGCATCTTATGACATGGAAGATGAACTGATTTCAAAGTCAGAAAACTTGCATTTTGGCTTCTTCTCTGACATTTGAGCTGGAAAATGATGTCCGTGCTTTTGCAAAGTCAACTGACTATTAATGAGACAAATCCTCACTCCTCAGGTCCATGTGATATGTTTCAAATGGTAGAGCTCTGAGCTATTAACATGCAAATCCTTCATTCACTTGCTAAGTTTGTATTTTCTGGAAAACGGCAGAGTCTGGCTTGTGGAGCAAACATATTTGTATAATGTGCTGGTTGCCATGTGTTTGGGAGAGGTTCCCATGCATTGCTGTTGACGCAACAAGGATGGAGCTTTTAAATGTTGATACTATGAAAATGTAATGTGATTGGACTTGGACAAGTGCCTAAACAGACCACCCATCATATTATTTTGCTGCCAAGCAAATTCAATTGAAGGGCTTTGAAGTTTCTTGATAGCGAATAATTCACCTTTCATTTTAAATGCATGCTGAGTTGTACTGAAATATTCATGCTGAAAAGTACTTTTTGTTGCATATTTTTTCAAAGAACTTTCCCTTTTTTCACTTTTATTTTTAGGATTTACTTTGAAAAAAAAAATCCTACCTTGTTGAGGGAAAGAGAATACTTGGTTTTAGGTGTACCATGAGATTTAATCAGTGTTTGAAGGTGATCTCTCAGAAGAATGACCTACTTTGTGACCTTTCCTGTGTTTGTTCACCAGATCTAGTGACTGGAATTTGCCTTATTCCATTACTTCTTGCCCTGCTAGATACTCTTCCATATTCAGAGGAAATTCTCCCGCTGGAGACTAGCATTTTACCTGGCATATAGCAGGCATTTAATACAGCTTGATCATTTGAATTGTATGTCCCATCTCAGTAACACAGGTAGTTCTGGGTCTTAGCTCCCTTCTTAATTTAACTGTGCCCCTGACTACTGAGAAGAAAGTTTCTGTTTTGAGAGCATCCCCATTACTCTCACACTTGCCTTCCCCCACACTGAGAACCCTGATTTCCTGAGTGACAGCTCATACTAAGATTTACCAGAGCCACCTGCTCCAAGAAGTACAGTTGTGACTGGAGTGTAGAGGGTGTGAGAGCAACTAAGCAACCGTTATTTGGGAAATACTACAAAATCATATCTTCACAATTGCTTACAGTAACTCACAGCTAGAGAAGCACATCATTAGTTTCTCAGTTGGAAGTCTTCTTATGGCAGCACATGATCTCTTTCGCCCTTGAACTCCCTAGAGCTTTTTTCTTTACTATCTTTTCTTATTAGGCAGTTTTTGCATAGTGGTTAAACATGTGGATTTTAGAACCACATTGCCGGGGTTTGAACGGCTTTACCACTTACTGTGTGATCACAGGCAAGTTACTTTCCTTTTTTTCCTGCTTCAATTTTCTTATCATAATTCTTATTATGAACCTAATAACGTTACCTAATAAATAGGACTTAATGTGAGATTAAATAAAGTACATATTTATATAACTATAAAACAAAATCTAGCATAAGTACTCAATACGTTGTAGCCATTATTGGTCACAACTTCCAAACAGCCCTTAATCTCCCACCACTACAATAAAATCTCTGCTGTTGAATTCCCACAAACATGCAGTCTTAGGGGTACAGAAGGGATGCTGAACAAAGTTCAGAAGCAAAGGAAAAATTTAGGTCTCAAGAAATCTCAGAATAGAAGCCATCATTCATGTCCCTGACATTCACTGGAAATAAAAGGGGTAAAGTACTGATAATTTTCTTAATTGGTGATTCCAAACTTTACATGCACAGAATCTCTTGGTGAGCCTATTAATATGTGAAATATTTGATATGTTTGAAGTGGGGCCCAATGAGGTACATTTGAAGCAGAGTCTCAAATGAGTGAATGATGCAAATAGTCCACAGATCACATTTTGAGAAAGCTTTTCTAGATTTTGATAAGGTACCGCTCTTCTCTTGCTCCTTCATTCATTTGATATTTGTTCTGAATACCTGCGATGAGCAAGAAATATCATGCCTGGAGCTTTGCAGGCTCCAAAATGAATTAAACACTGTCTTTGTTTTCAAGAAACCAAAAATATGGTGAGGAAGATATGTCACACATATTTTTTAATTTTGTAAGGAAATGAACGAAATGCACTACGTATTTTATGTAGCTGAGCAGTGTGATTAGAGGGCAAAACTTGATCAGTGGGGTTAACATAAGAATGGACTCCCTAAACTCACAAGGGACACATTCAAGAATCTTGATTTAAGAAAATGAATCATAATATTTTAATAAAATGGACCTAGAATAAACTATAAGATCTAAAAAGTTTTCTATACTAGAAATGTGAGAATGTAAGCAGGGAAGGTTTGGAAATACCCGTCAAAGCGGACCCTCAATTAGCATAACTATTTTCTTACTTCATCTTTAACAGTTGAGTCAGCGTTTGCTCCCAAAGTATAACCATGAAGGACTTTTCCTTCCCTGTGTGCATAAATGATTCCGTTCCTAAACCCAACACCAGGAAAATCCTGAGGAGAAAGTGTCGCATCCAAAAGTCATGTACAGTAGGATGGTGCTGTTTCTGGCAGCCTCATTGTAACAATTAAAATAGAATAAACCTTTTAATTTCTTCTTCTACCATTATATCCTCAGCTCTTTGATGAAAGTCTTATTTACCCTTGCAACCTGTTCATTTGCAAGTCACTGTGAAAGTGAAATTACTGGCTGGGCTCAGTAGCTCACACCTATAATCCCAGCACTTTGGAAGGCTGTCGCGGGTGGGTCACCTGAGGTCAGGAGTTCGAGACCAGCCTGGCCAACATGGTGAAACCCCATCTCTACTAAAAATACAAAAATGAGCCCGACGTGGTGGTGCGCACCTGTAGTCCCAGACACTCAGGAGGCTGAGGTAGCAGAATCGTTTGCACCTGGGAAGTGGAGGTTGCAGTCAGCTGAGATTGCGCTACTGCACTCCAGCCTGGGAAACAGAGTAAGACCCTGTCTCAACAACAACAACAACAAGAACAACAACAACAACAACAACAACAAAGAAAGTGAAATTACTGATTTTAACAATCATTGTGTTAAAATGATGATTGACATTTTTCTGATTGGGGCGTCAGGCAGTATCTAATTTAACTATAAAACTTGAAGTGGAAATTCAGATAACTGAGTGACCTGTGTAAGGGCAAGTAGCTGAGTGGTAACAGGTCTCAGTGTCTCAAATCCAGGATTACTGATTCATTATTCTTTTTAATAAGGTCAGTGGGCTCCAAACATAATGGTGAGGAAGATATGTCACACATATTTTTTAATTTTGTAAGGAAATGAACGAAATGCACTACGTATTTTATGTAGCTGAGCAGTGTGATTAGAGGGCAAAACTTGATCAGTGGGGTTAACATAAGAATGGACTCCCTAAACTCACAAGGGACACATTCAAGAATCTTGATTTAAGAAAATGAATCATAATATTTTAATAAAATGGACCTAGAATAAACTATAAGATCTAAAAAGTTTTCTATACTAGAAATGTGAGAATGTAAGCAGGGAAGGTTTGGAAATACCCGTCAAAGCGGACCCTCAATTAGCATAACTATTTTCTTACTTCATCTTTAACAGTTGAGTCAGCGTTTGCTCCCAAAGTATAACCATGAAGGACTTTTCCTTCCCTGTGTGCATAAATGATTCCGTTCCTAAACCCAACACCAGGAAAATCCTGAGGAGAAAGTGTCGCATCCAAAAGTCATGTACAGTAGGATGGTGCTGTTTCTGGCAGCCTCATTGTAACAATTAAAATAGAATAAACCTTTTAATTTCTTCTTCTACCATTATATCCTCAGCTCTTTGATGAAAGTCTTATTTACCCTTGCAACCTGTTCATTTGCAAGTCACTGTGAAAGTGAAATTACTGGCTGGGCTCAGTAGCTCACACCTATAATCCCAGCACTTTGGAAGGCTGTCGCGGGTGGGTCACCTGAGGTCAGGAGTTCGAGACCAGCCTGGCCAACATGGTGAAACCCCATCTCTACTAAAAATACAAAAATGAGCCCGACGTGGTGGTGCGCACCTGTAGTCCCAGACACTCAGGAGGCTGAGGTAGCAGAATCGTTTGCACCTGGGAAGTGGAGGTTGCAGTCAGCTGAGATTGCGCTAGTGCACTCCAGCCTGGGAAACAGAGTAAGACCCTGTCTCAACAACAACAACAACAAGAACAACAACAACAACAACAACAACAAAGAAAGTGAAATTACTGATTTTAACAATCATTGTGTTAAAATGATGATTGACATTTTTCTGATTGGGGCGTCAGGCAGTATCTAATTTAACTATAAAACTTGAAGTGGAAATTCAGATAACTGAGTGACCTGTGTAAGGGCAAGTAGCTGAGTGGTAACAGGTCTCAGTGTCTCAAATCCAGGATTACTGATTCATTATTCTTTTTAATAAGGTCAGTGGGCTCCAAACATATTTATGATCATGCATCCCTACTAGTAAAACAAAATAAACATTTTGAGCCAGTCCTTCCAACATCTTTGTACTTATGTGTAAAATGTTTAAGTGTGCTACTAACTAGTATATTAATCAGATTATACAATATATTTTAAAAATACATTTTTAAAGGGCAAAATTGAAAATAAATAGTATACAGAAGATGTAGAAATTTTTTCATCTCCCTGCTTTGGAGCAAGGCCACTCAGACTTTTATCTTAGTAGGACAAAATGATTTATGTCATTTATGTCAGGGAAATAAAAAGTCCTTAATGATTATAAGCAAGGGGTAACATACTTCCATCCCTAGTGCCTTATTTCCACAACACCTTGGTCCAGGAATGTTTATTAGATGACTGGCTCAGGACTCATTTCTGCACATTTTTTTTTCACTGTAGTTTTTTTGTTGTTGTTAAGTTATACCACTCCAGTTTGATAAAAGAAAAGATTAAGACCTTTATTTATGAAACTCAGAAGGTAAATTTTATGCTGTGTATTGAAAAGGGCATTTTTTTCTCTAAATACCACACATATCTATTTCATCTCTCTTTAATTCCTGGGAGAGCTGATGAAAGAGAGCTGTTTTTCTCCTTAGGAATTTCCTTCGGATTATTCTTATTTCAGTACACTAATCTTCTGTTTTTAAGTTTCTTCTACAGAAATTACACATATCTCAAAGCCAGAGGATTTTTATTTCTAATTTTCAAAGGGTAGCAGAAGGAAAGGAATGCCTTTAGACCTAAGATCTTGTTTCCAAAGGAGTCCTTAGAAGTAACAGGGAAGGCTTGGAGTTTGGTAATGAAGGAGGTAGTGGGAGTGGGTGGAGGGAAAAGTAGATATCAATATAAGCAGATTATCTCTAATGTTTTACAGAATGTTAAGAGTCTTTATAAACACAAACTGCAAGGAACCTGGGATCTGACAGCTGTGGGAGGAATGCCTGTGAGGAAAAAGGAGGAACAGAAGGTGTGGTTGCTAATTTCCAAACAAACAAAAAAAAGAGATGTCAGCCATTTTAATGGGAAAAATAAAGCCCCACAGGATGATAGATGACAGAGCACGACTAGCCAGCATTCAAAATGCTGGGACCAAATATCTTTCATGAAACACTCAGACACAGATCTTTAGTGTATGTTTCCCTGAGTTGGTAGAGAAAGAGAATGGATTGATCCCATGTTTCATCAAAGATGCTGGAGTTAGACTGGAAAGTGAAGGAATAATTAGCTTGTGGAAATATCCATTAAACAGATAACCTTATACTTGTTCACTCAGACCCCAGAGAGAGCCAGGTAAAAATTTCCATCTTTTTCTCTCTCTCTACATAAACACATAAACAAATTATAGTAGGTAGGTCATGGGAGATTACTGAATTGCACTGTTTAATTTTCTGAATTTACAACTGGGAGAGAAAAGCCTTCCTTTCAGAATCCTTGATGAGTGAGCTGATGGCAGTGACAGCACTTACCTTGACTTGTGTAAACAAATAGGACTGATGGGTGGCAGCTAGTCCTGACTCATACAGGTTTTGCACCATCAAAGGTTTATATCCTCTAAAATAAAAGTGACAAGAAAGAGAGTGAACTATCAGAATAATTCCTCCCAGCTGCAAGATTTGGAGCTAGGCACTGTCAAAGGCAAAGTGTGCCTGATCCAGTTAAGAACTCTCTCATTCTTTATGGAATTTGAGTATTAAATGAAGCCCCAAGATTTCTGGGTTCAGATTCCAATTGTTTACTAACTAAAATAAAAGAACCCACAAAACTGTTCAGGAGGCTTTGTGCTTCAAATCATTCTTACCAAACATGTTGATGAGTTAAGTATAAATTAATCAGAAACATATGGTTCAAATTTCTGTGAAAATCCACAGAGTATATTAAGGGAATTAAAGGGAAATGTGTTAGGCCAAACATATTTAAGAATTTGACAAAACTGAAATCTACCAAAATAGTTTAACATGTTCTGGTGCGTCTATTCCAGTTTATTATTTTTTAATAGTGTGTTTTCTCAAATGCCTTCAACTGCATTTTTGTGTGATGTGATAAATCCATAAATAATTATAACATATAATAA